TTTTGATATTTATTATACGTAATAATTAAGTTATTAATAAATATTAAATGTAAAACTTTGTGCATAAAAGCGGTATAATTGTAGCCTAATAACTGCATTTAAGATACTGCAAATAAATTTGCCTTCCGATTAACTTTATACAAAAACACGTGTATAAAATACGTGTAATGAAATTCTTAGCTGTAGTTAATAGGTGCAAGTGTTTTTTTAGATTGTTATTTTGCAACCTTGCAGACGTTGTCTTCCATACATGTATAATTCAGCAACTTCTAGATAAAATACGTTCCAACCGCTAAGTTCTACGTTGGCGGAAGGCGGTTGGCAGCGGGGTAACATGTTAATCGTGCCGATTTAAATTTCGCAAGCAGTCCCGGTTTTCCTCGCATCGCCGAGTTATTACGCGCGACATTCAAGCTCGGAACGCCGGAACACGAATATAGAAATCGCAAAATATGAGCCGGTTTAGCCGGCCACTCGTTGATTCGTCGGGAGCGCATTTGAATACGTCACGCCACAACGGGTTTACTACCTGATTTTAAGCGAGATCTCTTTGTCACAGGCAGCCTTGCAAGGCTGATATCGATCGGATCGGCATGTTTTAGCCGACCGCAGAAAAATATCTTCCCACTAGACCACCAGAGACAGAAACTTGAGAATGCATGGCATTTGAGGGCACGTAAGTTTTAGCCCGCGACCGGCAATTCTATTTTTGCCCACCTTCCCCCCTCTCCCCTCCCCCTCCACCGAGTGAAGCATTATCGCTTATCTACGCTCACGTGTGTCACTATCGGGGACTTACTTAAATACCGCACGCGCGAGAGCGTATCCGGTTCTGCTTCTATTATTTCATCAATGAGGCGTACGATAAAATGCAGTCGCCAGTTTATAAGGAAACATTGCCGGAGATTTTCTCTTTGTGAGCCAGCACCGCCCGATAAACAACTCGCGAGTTCTTTCGTCGATTAGGCCGGCAGCCTAGGGAGTTCTTTTCACGCTGGCATTATTATCGGGCAATTAAAGAAACTTAACTGTTATTTTGTAATAACCACGAAGTAAAATATTTCCTCGAGATAATTCGCAATATATCGCATATCTATGGACATTCGTTAGTGTTGCATCGACCGTAGTCGTACGGTCGCGGAGTTGCAAAGGATTAATATCTTTACGCGAACTTCGCGCGAATGAGCCCAATGAAAAGTTTCGATCCCGTTCCGCCATCCGC